CCCTCCCCCCGCGCTAGCTGCGTGCCCTGGTCTGCAGGCCGAGGGCGGGAGGAGACGCCGCGGGGAAATTCGGCCGCTGCCTAGTTCGGCCTGAATGTCGCAGCCAACAGCTGCCTCCAGGCAACGCGCGCGCCTGCTGCAGCAGGGAGATCGCGCCGGGGAAGGGTGAATCTCCGGGCTTTATAGTAAAGTGGGATGCGGGTCCGCCACTGACTTGGAGCTCTCTGAGGTGCCCGGTGACAGGGTCTGGATATTGCAGAGAATGCTCTTGGAGTGAGGCTGTGGTGCACCTAATGCTAACTTGAAAGGTGGGGGTCTCAAACTCCTGGCCCAGGGGCCAACTACAGGCTGGAGTGTAATCACAATCTGGCCTGGGAGTGCTGGGGTCCCCGTCCCCCCAAGGAGTGCAGTCTGTCCCCATCCCTCCAAGCTCCACCACCTCCCCCACATTGCACCCCGCCCCATGAGGGATGTGGCCTTGGGTGTTGTTGGGGGGGCGGGGCAGTGTTGACTGCTGCTGCCACCCTGTAACAGACCACCTTTGGGACTGTGTCTTTTAGTGGATGGGATGCAAGGGAGGGGCAGAAGAGGGGTCAGTTTGGAGGATGAGGGATGAATATGCTCCCCAGCCACCCTCCTGGCCAAATTGTGAATATGTTCTTCCCCGTACATTGGACTGTGAGTTTGAGACCCCCAGCTCTAAGGTAAGAATGGGACTGCCAGAGTCAGGAAAGTGCCTCAGTTGTTGAAATGTTGGTGTTGTCCTGACGCTGATGCTCATCTACAACCACTTTGCCTGAGGAGGATGAGGGATGAATATGCTCCCCAGCCACCCTCCTGGCCAAATTGTGAATATGTTCTTCCCCGTACATTGGACTGTGAGTTTGAGACCCCCAGCTCTAAGGTAAGAATGGGACTGCCAGAGTCAGGAAAGTGCCTCAGTTGTTGAAATGTTGGTGTTGTCCTGACGCTGATGCTCATCTACAACCACTTTGCCTGACTAACACCGGTGTGGTATTCCTGCTTAATATCAAAAAAATCATAGATTCATTAGACACTAGGTTTATGTTTCATTATGTTTCATTACAACAATCTGTAGCCCAATAACCCTCATTTGACTTACGGCTACAAAAGTGTTAACTGTCCATTATAAATCATCTCTTACAAAATGTGTTAACTAAGGATGTGATAATGTAAATGGTCAACCAATAAGCCTAGGCTCATCAGTTAACCTTCACAATTACAAGCAGCCCCCCATACCCTGTGCTGCTGCCTCTGAGCTCTCCACGAGTACCAGCTCCTTCTTATCTCCCTCCCCCTCCCCCCCGCTCCCGCCTCTGGGACAGAGAC